TTGGCAGATACTATTTTCTACTTAAGGCCCCATTCTGGGGTATTGGGACTTGACTATACGATGGTGGGGAACACAGTGCAAACCACAGTAGTAGGTAAGGGACTTGCCTATCTTACCTGTCATCCCACCCAGCCCCCAGCCCCTGGCCTCTGAGCCCCTTGGAGGGAAGGACACAAGACATTGGAGTTGGCAGATGTCCATTGTGACAGGCACTTGCCCCCTAGAAGTCTACCACCCATTCTGGGGTACCCACTCTTGGGAAAACCCTAACCAGGGCACAAAGCGAGAATATAGGCAGGTATCTCACCAAAGAAGTGGTTATAAAGCAGCTGCTCCCTGTCCCACCCCTAGATCTTCCCCAGCCATCAGGCTTCCCAAGACCTGGCTTCTGTTCTAAGATGCTCAAATGCAGCTGCTTAGCATAAATAGCCTTTAAAATGGCCACTGGAACATTTTTATGTTCCGGGGCCACTTGGCTCTGGTGCTGACCATGGGGCTGTGCACACAATTCCTCAGCCCAACTGGCATGACATACTTCTGCGTCCAAGTGCAGCCGCAGAGGGCCAGGGCCTGCTCTGTCTCAATACCCCCGGAGAAGCCCCCAGGCTCTTTGTCCCTGGCAGGGTGGGCTCCACACCCCTACCAATGGCATAGTGGGGACTGGATAGAGTAAGAGCCTCTGTACACAGCTTGAATTGCACGTGATTATTTTTGAGTCTATAGTCCAAAGGGAGACTGCAGAAGTGCGGCTGGAGGTGAATGAGCTCAGACTCTGATGTCAAAGTTAGTGGATCAAGTAGCACCATAACATACTTCTGGGGACAGTTGTTGTAGGGTCAAGCGAGGATATAGCCCAATTCCCCCTCCCAGTCAGTCGGACGGTGTCCGCCTGGAGGGAGCAGTGCAGCCCAGACCTGTTGCCCACGTCTTTGACAGCTAACAAGCTTTACCAGGCTCTGTTTGGCCTTGGTCTGCATGCATGGCTCCCTCTATCTCCCCCTCCCCTCTGCTAGATAAACCCCTAGCCTACTCTGAGTGTGGAAACTTGCCCAACAGGCAGGCAACCATTGGGTCTTCCCCAGATATAAGAAAATGAGGGCTATGTCTTTCCCCTCAGGTCCCCCGTGTGGTTTTTTCCAACTAGCGAAGGGACAGTGGAGCTCCTACAGAATAGTCTGCATCTGGTTTTAGGGTTGTTTTAAAATTATATATATTGTTGAAAGTATTACAGATACCCCTCCTTTTTTTCCCCCCACTGATCCATCACCCTGCATCTGCTCCTCCCCCTAGGCCTTCACTACACTGTGTCCATTGGGTGGGTTATGCAAATATGCATATAAATTCTTCAACCTCTCCCCACCCATTCCCCTACCTTCCCACTGAGATTCATGTCTGTTAATGCTTCTATGTCTCTGGATCTATTTTGTTCCTCAGTCTATTTTGTTTTAGACCCCACATATGAGTGAGATATAAAACAGGAAAAATCAGAAAATCTGAATAGGCTAATAACTGATGAAACTGAAGCAGTAATAAACTCCCAGCAAACAAAAGCCCTGTCCAGACGGCTTCCCAGGGGAGCTTTCTAATTCTTTAAGTTGTAGGGTTAGTTTACTAAAATTTTTTCTTGCTTTTTGAGGTATGCCTGCAGTGCTATGAACTTTCCTCTTAGAACTGCTTTTGCTGTGTCCCATAGATTTTGGGTTGTGTGTCCATTTGTTTCCAGGAAGCTTCTTTCTTGATCTTACTGGTAACCCATTCATTGTTTAATAAAATGTTATTTAGCCTCCATGTGTGTTGTAGTTGATTTCTAATTTCATGCTATCGTGATCTGAGATGCTTGATATGCTTTCAATTTTGAACTCGTAGGGAGTTTTTATGTTTGATAGGTAGTTATCTACTGCCATTTTATTTCTTTATGCCTATGTTTCTCATTCTATTTCTACTTCCAACTACAGCAGTCTCTTTAACATTTCCTGCAGTGCTGGTTTGGTGGTGATAAACTCCTTTAGCCTTTTTTTTTTCTTGTCTGGGAAGCTCTGTATTTCACCATCTATTTTGAATGATAGTCTTGCTGGATAGAGTAGTCTTGGTTCCAGATCCTTGCTTTTCATTACCTTGAATACTTCATGCCATTCCCTTCTGGCCTGTAGAGTTTCTGATGAGAAATCATCTGACAGCCTTATGTGAGCTCCTTTGTAGGTAACAGATTTTCTTTTGGTGCCTTTAAGATTCTGTCTTGAATTTTTGGCATTTTAGTTATGTCTGGGCATGGGCCTCTTCGGATTCTTGTTTGGGACTCCCTGTGTCTCCTGAACTTGTGTGACTTTTCTTCACCAGATTGAAATTTCTCATGATTTCTTAAAATTCTCTATCCCTTGCTTTTCTCTTCCCCTTCTGGCCTTCCTATAATGTGAATATTGCTGTTTCATGTTGTCCCACAGCTTCCTTAAACTGTCCTGTTTTTTTCTTTGGATCTGAGTGACTTTTTTTTCTTCTACCCTGTCCTCTAATTTGCTGATCTGACCCTCAGCTTCCTTTAATGTTTATTCCTTCCAATGTATTCTTTATTTCTACTATGTCATTCTTAACTTCCTTCATAGTTTGCATATCTTCATGCTGTTGAGTATTCTTACAATCAGTATTCTGAACTCTGTATCTGATTGCTTATCTCCTTTTCATTTAGCTCTTTCTGGAGACTTCTTTCATTTGGGGCTTGTTTTGTCTCCCCATTTTGGCTGTGTGTTTGGGTTTGTTTCTAAGTATTAGATCTGCTAGGACTCAGTCTTTTGGGGGTCTCCGGTACAGGCTGATGTCAGATGCAGTTTGTAACTGGCTTTGAGTACCCTGTTTGGAGCTATCAACAACCCTTGGCCTGACGTCCCCTCTGTTGGGGCTGGGTGCATTTGGACAGGACCAAGATGCACACCAAAGTCTACTTTTCCAAGGCCGGGGTCCAGAAGCAGATAGGCAAAGACTCAAAGCACTGAGGTCAGCCTCTGCCTGCAGACTGATTGATCTGATTCTCTTAATGAGCCTCAGGCTGCAGAAACTCCACAGGGTGGGGCAGCTGATTGATCTGATTCCCTTAATGAGCCTTAGGCTGTAGAAACTCCACCAGGTAGGGCGAGAGGTTTCCCAGCAGGGTGGGGCAATTGCTTCCCCCTCAGGCAAAAGCTGCTAGAAGGTAAATGTCTGCCTCTGCAGTATTGGGGAATGACTTGGCACAGGAATCCAGAGGGATGCCCTCTGAGCTCTATCTCCAGAGCCCGCAACCCTAGGTTCTTCTTATGCAGCTCTGGTCCACTCTGCCCTCCCTCTGCTGGAGCCCAAGGTGAGTGGCTGCACATGAAACTTTGTGCATTGGCCCTTTAAGAGGGTTTCTGCATTTCTAGCCTCTCTCCCTGGCAGGCAGAAACCCGGCTGCTTTTCACAGCCAGATGTTATGTGGCACCTTTCTAGTTCTGGTGCTCTGGGCTGGGAAGCCCAGCCTGGGGTTAGGCCCCAGAGTCCTCAGTGGGAATCCCCACAGCTGAGATCTTCCTGCTGACCTTCAGCTGCTGACTGTGGGAGCCCAGCCAGCCCTCTCACGCCTCTGCACTTCTTACAAGTCTGTGGTCTCCACTTTTCCTTCTTGGTTGTGAGAGTGCTTTCCAGCTCATCTTCAGTTGCAGTTGATTATTCAGGGTGGTTTTTCTACATTTTAGTTGTAATTCCAGTTTGGTCCCCAGAGTCAGTGTAGCGTCCACTCAGACCACCACCATCTTTCTGGTTTTAGTTTGGACAAGGTTTACAGTCTTATTCTGGGCATGTCTGTCCATGTCTGCCCCATTGAAGCCCTAAATATCTTCGCTGTAGCTATTAGTCCTTAGGAAGCTGGTATGTGTGTCCTGCTGAGGGATTCCTGAAACTGAGGGGTTGCTGCAGTGTTGGCCACAGTAGGTTATAGACGTGGGAGAGTGGGTCCTCCAGGCTTGCCCTGCAGGACAGATGACGAAGGCCAGGCACCGTGATTTCCACACACCAGCCACTCACACTTTCTGCCTGGTGTGGTGATTGCTTGTGGTACAGTGACTGAGTCACTTATTCAACAATCTACAGGAAGAGGTTAATTCCAAGAGTGGAATCAAGGTTAATATTCAGTTGGTGGTCTCGTAACATTTAAAGCTTAAAAACTGCAAATGTTTACTCCTGGGCAGAGCTGATACCGAGTCAGCTGTTCAATGGATGTCAGCTTATTACGATACTTCAGTATTGGTTCACAAAACCCTCCCATGGGTGCCCCTCCAACTACCCCACTACCTACTACCAAACACTCGGCTTCTTCCTCCATGGTCAAGGAGATACTAACACATCAGGGTATTTCAGTTACGTGGACTGTCTCTCATGGAGTCACTACTACACGCTGGAGGAAAAGGTGCACACCCACTGCATGCATGACACGTACCCTGAGAGGGCAGATGCAAATGGAAGATTCTGGAGCTTTGTTTGTTCTAAAGCTGAGCGAGATAGGAAAGAAGCAAGATCCTGCCATGACCCAGCTGTATGGAAAACAAGTTTCTTCCTGTAGGTTGAGCAGCGCCTTGTGGGGGCCAGGCACCAGGTCAGCAACTGTCGGTGCTGTGGGTCATGGGACATGTTCCCCTCACTCTATAAGGAGGCCGGGTCCTTTCTGTAGGAGAAATGACTCATGTGGAACCCTGAAGGGAAGTGTGTGTGATGAAGTATTTGTTCAACTAAAGCTTTGGGCTGACCCTTGACTAGTTCAGCCGGTGAAGACTTGCATTGTGTAGGCCTCCTGTACCCGATGGAGACTGCCCTGCCCTCCTGGGGTGGTTGCTGCTGATGTACCTTTGCCATTCCTGAATCCAGGATTGGACAGCATGGGTACTGTCATCCACCCCATCATCAATCACTGTCCTACCCTCTTCCTCACTGGCTTCGCTCCCTCGTGCATTCCTTTGCTTTGCATCCCAGCGCAGACCTTGGTTGTGGCAGCTTACGTCCTCCCAGTTTGGCAAAGTGACAAGCTGTGATGTCCATCTTGTCTTGCTTCCCAACTCTAGCAGCCAGCTGATGCCAAGTTGTAGACGTTTCCATATCATTCTGGAGTTTCAGTTCTTATTTTCTGACCCTGGCTTCTGCCTCGTACTGGGCAGCAGTGGAGCTGAACCACCCACAAGGGGGGCCAGCCCACATCCCTTCCTCACCACAGCGTGCTATGCGTAGTTCCTCAAATGCATAATACCGTCTGGCATGTTCAGGGTCTCCCCATACTCATGCGGCAACCCACATAGATGCCCTGTATCCGACATGGGCCACCCCTCCCCACATAGATGTAGGTGGCCAACCCTGGTTTCCACTGCAGATGCTTCTCTCCTAAGGCCCATTTCTTCTGTCTCCTGACTGGCTTGCAAAATGTTCATACAGACCCAGGAAAGGTCCCAGGACCGACACCTACCTCTGAAAGTGGAGGGCAGAGAAAGACCCATGAAAGTCAGGCTCCTCCAGTCTGGTAATGAACCACTTATTAAGGGAAACTTACAAGGTGCTTCTTGGTGACTGCAAGATGAAAGGGATCCCAGTACCACTTGGTGGACACCAAAGAACAGCATGTGGGGTAAAGGGGAGACAGTCACTGGGACTAGTACCTGAATGCTATCAGGTACGGGACACTGCTTTACGTGCTGGTCAGATTGGGAACCAGCACTTAGTAGGAGGCAGGGAGGACCTACTGACTTGTCAGAGTGAACACTGATTAAGATCAGTGTCTAAGGGGGGGCTTGCAGTGAGCAGTCTGTCCTGGCCCAGGTCTGGCAGCAGTCACGTTATGGAACAGACTCTTGAGTACAAGGTCTTGCATTGTTCCCACATGACACAAACATCTGGATTTAGAATGTACAGCTGACTCTAACACTCCCAGACTGGATAGAAAGAACTGCCTTTAACCCTAAAGTTACTTCCCCTAAAGCTCTGACTAGGTGGCAAATCAACTAGTTCCCTCTGTGGCCAGCTGGTTAATGAAGCTCATGAGCTAAGTAATGCTTAGTGTAACGGGAGTTGGCTGAGCTAACAGGCCTGGGATAGTACATAAACGTCAGTTTTGAGAAATTAGCTCGAGACTTAAGGTGACATCTTGGCTGTAAAAACATATACATGGCCCATCAAATCACTAACATCCAAATTACTCTGACATGGTAACCGTCCAAGTGAAGTAGGAATCTTGATAACCAGCTGCTGCTTTAAGGCATTTGTGCACACATGACTCAGAATTGAGGTGGACTTGGTCTCATCTGTAGTTGTTTGCTCAATTCCGGATTAGCCCAGGGCTGTCTGATGCCCAGGCCTTGCTCGTGACTTAGGCTGTGCACAGACTGCTAGGGGCCTAGTGTTGGAGAGTGACTCTGCCCTGGCAAGGAGTTTATCATGTGAATGAAGTTAGGCTATTTGGTGGGGTAAAGGACAGCAGGCTATAATGGAAGAGTCTGGGTGAGCACAAGGCCCCAGCTGGGTTTGAGAAAGAGGGTTTATCTTAATGCATTAGGCACTTGTCTGCACCCTCAGGCTGAGCAGACCTCAGGATTAGAGCAGAGCTTCTTCCTTGGGCTCTGAAAAGGCTTGGGGGGTGGGGAGGCAGGGATTAGGGCACACCACCAGAATTTGTGGCCCAGAGAGGAGCCCAGCTGCTCTCTCATACTGGCCCAGGTCTTTGGGGTGCCTTTGCTTGGCCGCCTCTTGCTGGAGCCATGCTCAGTGGGAAAACTCAGATACATGAGGGCATGGGAGGGGAGCAGAGTGTGCCTGGCTGTGTGGTATCTGCAGAGCCCTCTAGAGGTTGACTCTAGCGAGACTCGGTGACCTCTGAGCCTGGAATTTACCCAGAGAAACCTGCTTAGCGAGGCAGTGCTGGCTGACTTCCAGAGCCTTCTCTTGGTGAGGCAGAGCTGGTGGGCAGATCAGGAGCACTGAGGTTCAACCCTCAGGGGAACTTCGGCCTCCCTGACCACTTATTGTAGGGCTTATTAGTTCGACACAGCTGCTCTTTGAATCTGTGTCTCCTTTACTGGGCAGAGGCCCTAGGCCATGACAGAGGAGCCCCAGGTGTGACGGGATGTGAAGTGTGCCCCTTACATTATGAGAAACCATGGGCCAGGACCTGCTTCCTCATGCTGCTTCTAGGTGGCTACATAGCCTCATTCTCCCAACTCGAGCTCATTCCCCTTTTCCCCTTCTTGTGGGGTGAGGTCTGTTCCCTTTCCCTAGAAGATCCATTCACTTACAAAGATTAAAGTCTGATGGTCACAGGGTGCCCAGGATCTTCAGGGTGAGGTTGAGACCAGTGTTCAGCTTCCACCGTCTGCTGCTGTGATGCCCCAAGGCCACCAGGTGGTGCCAGAGGATGCCCCTCAGCCAGCTGTTAGGCTGGAAACAGGGAAAGTCAGGGGTTCTCTGGGGACTCCCGAGAACAGGACTTGAGTGGGGCACCTATCCCCTGCCTGACCATCTTTGCTCTTGCCCTGTCTTCCTTCAGAGCTCACCTACCCCTTGAAACATAGGTGATTCCATGCCTGGGGGTAATCTCTCAAAGAGCAGGGGAGCCTGGGCCAGGCACCTCCCTCCACCTCCCAAAGTAGGGGTTACACACTAAGTGGGTGAACTTTTTTTTGGTTTAAAATATTACAGATGTCCCTTTTTCTCCCCAATGACCCGTCCACCCTGTCCCATCCCCCTGCCCAGTCCCTCTCCCCACCATTGTCTGTGTCCTTGGGTTGTGCATATGTGCATATAAATTCTTTGGTTACTCTCTCCCCGTCCACCCACCTGCCCTCCTCCATCCCTCTGACATTCGTCAGTCTCATCTATGCTTCCATGTCATTGAATCTATCTGTTCACCAGTTTATTAAGTTCTTTAGATTCCATGTATAAGCGAGATCATGTGATGTTTGTCTTTCTCTGCCTGACTTATTTCNCTTATTTCACTTAGCATAATTTTCTCCAGGTCCATCCATACCCCCAAAGGGTGTGAAATCCTTTTTTACAGCTGCATAGTATTCCATGGTGTAAATGTCCCACAGCTTTTTTATCCACTCATCTACTGATGGGCACTTGGGCTGTTTCCAGATCTTAGCTATTGTAAACTGTGCTGCTATGAACATCGGGGTACATATATCCTTTCTGATGAATGTTNCTCTGCTATGAACACAGGGGCGCATATATTCTTTCTGATTAGTGTTTCAGGATTCTTAGGATATATTCCTAGGAGTGGAATCACTGGGTCAAAAGGCAGCTCCATTTTTAATTTTTTGAGGAGCCTCCATACTGTTTTCCACAGTGCCTGCACCCGTCTGCATTCCCACCAGCAGTGTACTAGGTTCCCCTTTCTCCGCACCCTCGCCAGCAACAAAATTCTATATCGTGATGTGACTCATGTGGTCACTTCTTTCTGGGTAAGAAAAGGAGAGGAGGGGAGGGCCTTTCTGGAGGCTTAGGGACCAAGGCTGGTCACTCTTCCCCCTTCATCCCCCAGAGAAATGAAGTGATTTAATGTGAAGGAGGTAAAGTGGAGGAGGGAAGGACCTCACCTGATACAGTGGGGCAGAGGAAAGAGCTCAGGACAGAGCTTGGAGAGAGACTGAAATTGAGATATACTGTTAACACCTCCCCAAAGCTGAGGACGGAGGAAGAAAAATACCTGGAAACCAGGACTCGAACAACCTGAACCCCACTCCACAACTGCTCTGGAATGGGAAACCCACCCATCCTTGTAGGGACTGCTACCAGCTAGTCAGCGTGGCTCCCTTTCCCTTGGCTACCACGTGGGCTTAGGGTGGTGGTTTCAGCACATGGTCCTACATGGGATCTGGATGAGACCAGCTTCTTGGAGAATTACCTTGAAAGAAGAGAGGGGAATATTAACTGGACAGATGGGAGGAAATGGGCCCCAGAAGGAAATACAAGGTTACCCAGCAGAATGGCAGAAATAGATTTTCCAGAGTGGAAAGAGGGGACATGCAACAGACAATATTTGAGTGCCTATTATGTGCCAGACACTGTTCTAGAACACCCCTCAAAGAAAGATGCAGATTCCGAGGGAGGGAAGAGGCAGCTGAGGGNATTGAGTGCCTGTTATGTGCCAGACACTGTTCTAGAACACCCCTCAAAGAAAGATGCAGATTCCGAGGGAGGGAAGAGGCAGCTGAGGGAACAGACTCCTGAGTGACGGGCGTGGCCTTGGGCCGCCTCCTCGGCCTCACTGAAACCCTCCTGCGGTGGCGTCCTGGCACTGTGGCACAGGAGACGGGGCCGTTTGTGCTTCCCTTGGCCTTGACCTCCCTCTGGTCCATGCCCTTGCCCGTGTGCCAGCGGAGGAAGGCCTTCTGGCAGAACATGGCCGTGGGCTGCTCCGAGATGGCCGTGCTGGTGCCAATGAAGGTGACGGCCATCTCCAGGCCACGGGGCGGGATGTCGGCTGCCTTGACACTGTCAGACCCACTCCACAAAGTGGCTGCTGTTCCTGTCTTACACATTGAGCGTCTGCTTGCCCACCTCCTTCATGGACGTCTGCCCATGGTAGGCAGCAGCCGTGGTGAGGTACTGGTAATGGGGGGGGGTCACAGGTAGCCATTGTGTTCTTAGCATCAAATACCTGCTGGGTGAGTTTGGGCACAGTGAGGGCCCAATACTGCTGGCTTCCACGGATGGTTAGGGGTAAAGCCAGCCATGAAGAAACGGGGGTGAGGAAAGGGCACCACGTTGACTGCCAGCTTGTGGAGGTCAGCATTGAGCTGGATGGGGCAGTGGAGGCAGGTGGTGACACTGCTTCTGGTGGCTAAGGCCGGGTGGTTCAGGTCCCCGTAGGTTGGCGTGGTCAGCTTGAGGGTGCGAAAGATGCCGGGGTGCCTCATTATCAGTGCAGTAGGTCTCACGAGTATTCTCTATGAAGTGGTGGGCAGAGAGGGTGGTGTTGTAGGGCTCAACCAGTGGCAGACACTTTAAGTGAAGGTGCCACAGTGGAGGTGTTGATGATACGGTCAGCATGCTCT